ATATTGTGTAATAAAAATAAATTTTACAAATTGGCCTCCAGTTCATGAGGTGAAGACGAGCATGTCTATACTGGGTGATAATTTGAAAGAAATACATTAAATTTTTCTTATTCCACTATAATGTATCTTCATGCTTTCAAAAATAAATCAGCGTATAATTTACGTTAAACGATGAAGTTACACAAAATAGATTTTTACTAAAATTAATGAGATAAAAAGATTTTGTACATTTCATTTATATTCTACAGTCATATTATCATAATATTAAGTCCAATATATTAATATTGTACATATTTTTAAAAGTATGATTTAGTTAGACAATAAGATAAGTTACTACTTCAACTTTTAGCGAAGATTTCAATTTTAAATTTCATATAACACTATCATCCTTTACTCAGTAAAATAATTCTATAAGTCTGTCTAGAAGTTAGATTAGGTTACGTTAGGTTAGAACATCAACACTTGCAGTAGGACAGAAAAATTGCCCATTTTGATACTCTTTTAAACGTACAGTATAAGATGAACTAAACTAAACTATCGTTAACTTTACTAGACCGAAACGATGAACATAAACATTTGCTGATATAAAAAGTAGTAAATAAATTCCACTTTCTCTAATTTAGAATATAAGATCCTAGCTATTCTTCAACACCCGATGTTTGAAATCAAAGCAAAATGTTTCAATTTTTTTTTTTTACTATTGCTACATGCCTTTTATCTTTAATTTTTTGGTTGAAGAACCTTCTTTCTTCATCCTTCATTCTTCAAATTGTTATTTTCCATATTCCTTAAGTAAATTTAACTTTTAGCTAGTCAATGATTTCCTAAGAAATGAAATGACGTACATGTATCAAATATTACTTCGAAAGATTTATATGCATGTTAAGCAGTTACCTTTCCCTCTTATCACCAATGTGCTTAAATCAAGAAATGCAAATTCTTTGTAAATCTTTTTAATCACTATTTCAAATAGTTCGACTTTGGTCTTATATATTCCACTTGGCTGGTTATCTTTATTTATTTATTATATGAGTATGCAGACTTTTTCATATTGATATGATCAGAATTAGAAGCTTTACATATCCACATCTTATCCATCTACCCTTACCAGATACGACCTCATGAACAATGAAATATCAAGATATGTAGTATATATTCGCATACAGATCTTTTTTAGACTGTTCTTAAAGTCCTTTAATTTTCTTATTGATGTATCAGTATCATTATCATTTTACAATCTGTAGATAGTATGTCAAGCACAATTGCACCTTATTCTTTAATGATGAATAATGTAGTTAGATTTATTACTATTATTTTTATGACAAAGCGATAGAATAGTACACTGCAACCTAAAAGATATATTGTGCCCCTTAGTCGGGTAAGAGTGTTTCTTCAAGTCCGATTTCTTTAAAGAAAGACGGTATAGAGTCTGTATTTTCTATTTCTAGTCTTAAATCCTAATGTTTCATGAAATACCCTTCCAGGTATTTCTTCCGCTTGTGCATTAGTGCCGGGCACTCTCCTAGCACATCGTATGCGGTTTCTCTCTGTTTCCTATAGTATCTGCAGTCTGAGTTGGATTGGATTCCTAACTTTGTTAGATGATTATTCAATCTACAGTGACCGAATAGTAATCCCGTAGTAATTTTTAGGTTATTCTTTGCTTGTACTATGCAAGCCATGAAGCGTTTTCGGTTGTAAATCCCTAAAACCATTTTGGGTTGTGATAGTCTTTGTAATGTTGATAGTCTTGGATAGAATATTGAAGTGATTGCGCAGTCAGGAATTTTAGAAATAGAAAGGATGCAAGGCCAGGGATCACTACGTAGAGACCCTTTTTCGGAGGGAATGAGTACTTGGGATTAGACCTACCTGCGAGTACGTCTACGATTCCCTCAGATTTAGCTAGGTATAGTTTAGTTGCATTTTCGTATTGAATTTATTTAGTTAATTTATTTATATAGATTTTATTTGTTCACACTGTCTTCGTACCCTTTAAGGCAAGTACAATATTAATTAATTTTTTAGAATTTTATTAATTTAAAGAAGGTATTTGTAAAAGGTATTTGTAAAACTTTCAAGTATATAAGTTATAAATATTAATGCAGCATATAGTACACACAACCTTTGATATTAGAAATACCAAAAGCACTGGATAAGAAGGTGGTAGAACCAGCAGCTAACAAATTTAATTTTCGAAGAAAAAAAGTTTTTTATCCCAAGTTTGAAGGATACCTCCCTGTTTCTTCATCATGTAAAACAAACCGACAGTTGTGAGAAAACGAAAAATTTTAAATTTAAAAAAAAATTTTATATGCATTAAAAATTGTCAAACTTTTCGTGCAGGAGCCAAGCAACTAAGCAACCCAGCCAAGTACATTTCAAAATATTTAAATGTCAAATGGAAATTAGGAAAAATTTTTCTGAAATGCCATTCCCTCTGCCCATTGTTTTGGATTTACTTCGGTAAGTAATTATTTTTCTGGCGTATTTTATTTCACTCTTTACGATTGTTTTTTAGTTAATTAGAATGCAGGCAAAAGTTTGGTTTCACGAAAAATAAATATTTGAAAAGTAAACAATTCTTGTTTATGAAGAAATTGTTTTAGTTAATTTGTATGGCAGCGGAAGAACATTAAATTTTATTTACAAAATACGCACATTGCGCATTTCGTAACTCACAGAGATACTTGGAATTCCACATACTCCTCTACCAGGGCAAGTACGACTGCGAGTGTTTCCCTCAATCGTTTTGTGGGCAACTAAAATGGCATATTTTATAAACAAAAGAACTTACGGGCAAAAATGCCGGAGTTCTGGAATCTGAAGCAGCAGCGGTGGCACAAGCAATGATACGAGGTTTGAGGCTCCATTCCAAAAGATCATATTTTTCACGATTTTTGTTTGGAATAAACTTTTCTGTTTACTTGCTCAACAATTTATGCGTTTAAGAAGTGAATGCGTGCGATATCTGGCGCAATTCATTCAATTTAATTTTTTCTTTCCATTTTTTGTGAAGTGATAAATATTCATAATCATTCTCTTATATGCATATTGAAGTCAATATAAATAGTTGCGCATATTTTCTACTCAATTTGTATTTATTAAATTTTTAATATTCAGCATCAACACATTGGCATGCCGGCGGACCACACAAATTCCAAGCTCTCCAGTTTAGGAATAACAATAACAATAGCAAAATGTAGCAATGGGAAATGCTTTAATTAAATTTTCATTCAATTTTAGTTAAAGATTCTTTGCCATTTAATAACGCATCTGTGTTGCTATTTTAAAACTAATTACCAGCAATTTGCCGTCATATTTTGATTTGATACCAATTTTAAATAAACCCAAGATCAAAGCAAATGCAACGGGGGAAATTTGAAGGGGAAAAAATGCAATAAAACTCCGGACGAGCGGCAACGCTGTTTCATCTGACAAGATCATAACGACGTGCACATCAAAGGAAGTTCTAGTTAGTGCTGCACTGTAACTGTATCCCATGGCGAACGCACTGCTTAATTGCTATGCGTAAAAAGTGTCTCGACTATGAAGCACTCGTAAAAAAAGAAGATATAACCAAATACCCATGCCATGGAAGAAGCATCCATTGCACATTTTCTTTTTGTACGCAATTAAGAATCAATTTTCTAAAGTAAATAGTTTCGTGCAACAAATTTGCGTATATCGACGGTTTACTTATAGTATCTGTAGATACGACTACTACGCACCACCTATACTAAATATATAGTATTCCGGCAGCTCATTAAATAGATGAGTGGTCTCGTGCGAACGCTTATAGTTTTTCCTAAAATTATTTTAGGCACATTTTGAAATTGAACATTTTTTGGAATTTCGCATTCAAGCGACAGATCTGTGGGACAGCTGCCAACAGAACTGACATGCGACAGCAACAAAATTTCAAATTTCCTCTCCCCACGAAATATTTTTAGATTATTTTTCATTTTGGCACTGTAAGATGAAAAATTAAATGATATTTTAATGAGTTGCGATTAAATGTGAAATGGAAAATTTATTGACCGATCAGGCAGACAGCTATGATGTGTTAATTATAAATCTATTAAATTCTAATTCATTGAAATTAATCTAATTCTAATAACTAAAAAGTTTAGTTAACAGCGGTCATTTTATATATTGTAAATGTTTGTGTACAAATTTTCTGCAAAAATATTCAAACATAATAGAGCATTTATTAACCTATTATAAATATGTTACCAGAATATGTTGGTTTTAGTCTTTTTTCCACTTTTTTCCTTTTATTGCTTACTATATAAGCAATTAAATCAGTCTAATTTAAAAGAAGTACATAATTATAAATGCAAAAAATAAACACAAAACATGTTGTATTGCCATATGCACAATTAAAATAACCAATTTGCAACAACAACGTTGTTGTCTTATACACTATAGCAAATACACAAAACAAAATAACAAATTTGTGACAAAAACGATGTTATCTTATGCACCATAGCAGTTTATTTGTATGCACAAATTTTATTAAGATAACGATTATTTGTCACAAGTTAGTTGTATGCTAGTATGTGGTTTTGTTCTTGTAGGTGATACATAGAACCTCTGCTATCAATTAAAATCAAACTCTTACTAAACTTGGTAATAATTAATGTGTACCCCTTAATTCGCTATCCGTTGCCCTTGAATTGTTGGACGTAACATCGGATTGGGTAGAACCATCTAACTTTCTATCAAAAAATACTGTTATTTTGTCAACTAAAAATATGCTCTTTCCAACCCCTATTTCTTTTTGAATTTCTTCTGTTGCTCTAATCAAAACTGTGTAAATTAATTTCCGCTTTAAAATCCCTATTTCCCGAAACTAATGAAAGCTACTCTCATGTCATATATTTTATTCCCAATTTTATTTTCGTATTCCGTAAAATAAAACAACAGTTAATTTTACTTAAATTTTATTTTTCGGCTTAGTCGAGCAGTGATTTATTTGAATTTTTCTAAATACTCTGTTTAGTTTTTACTTTAAAAAATTAATTAAAATAACGCATACAATTTAAAATATATCTTAACATTTATAATAATTGCTTGCTAAATACGTAAAATAATATCCGAGAAAAATGTACTTGTACTTGGAATATCACGTCAGCTATTTTCCTCCAATCATGCTGTTTAGTGACGACTACTTGATTTCCGACAAATCGCAGCTAGAATTAAAAAAATTATTGTTATATATACTAAAATATATATAATTCTAAAAACAAGAAAAAATTTAAAAATTAACCGCTCTGGTCTTGTTCGAAACACCATGTCCGTCTCTCTCCTATTACAATTTACTTAGTTTATAAAATATCGGAAGCAATTAAAAATTTAAGATGAGACAAAAATATTTCATTAATATATCAGATATATCAGTATATATTATATCTACACATATTTTTTTTTTCTCGAAATTCTTGATATTAAAATAATTTTATGTGCCTATAAATATGCAATAATGAAAGTAAATTCTTGATAGAGAAGGACTAACAGAAAAAAAATCTCTTATCTGAGATCAAAGAAGAAAACTATAAAAATAAATTAAAGTAAGAATTATATTACTATCAATTATAATACATACTGAAAAGTATCTATACAGTTTTCACTAGCAACAATAAGGCATCACATGTTTGCTCACATTCTTTTTGAAAATTAAGTAAAATCAATTAAATAATAATAAAATGTGGTTAACGTTTTTACCTTGTCACCAGTTGGTACAAATCGTAATCGGTTTTGTCAGCGACAATGGAGTCAAAAATTCAAGACTTGTTTTCCTTAAACAAAAACAAGACAAATAATTTCGGATGCTAAATGTAGTTTTCCCAGTAAATACTCATCCAAAAAACCATCAGAAATAAAAAAATAGCTGGCGCTGCTGGTAGTTCTAAATTTCCTAGTAACTACTGATCCAAAAACCATCTGAAATAATTTGAGTTACCTAAAACTCAAATTTCAATAGCATCTCGCGTTGGCCTCTTTTTCTAAAATATGATATAAAGTCATGTATATAATAATTTGTTAAACATCTTTTAGTTACCAGTGAATTTCCTGTAATCTTTAACATAACCGTTTCCTCCAAGTACAAACAACAACTCACACCGCACCAGGTCAAAATGGGATCTTCCACAAATAACTCATATACATAATTTTGAAAATTTTCATTACAAGTAAAGGGTATTTTTTAATAAAAGTTTGGTAGTTGTCTCTCAAAAGAATTATCAGTGATTTACACAATTGTCATTTTTCTATATTTAAATACCTAACATACACTGTCATTTAAGTAAAAAAAAAAATTATTTCAGAAAATTATTTAAAATTAACATAAATTTTGGTTTCAGACTTACCATATACACACCAACGTTGCCAAGACTTTTTTCCTCTATAAATACGAAAAATATTAATTAATATTATTATTTCAATTAATTTTGAAAGAATTTAAGTCCACTTACTACTAAGCGTTACGTTTAACTGTGACCTTAATAGATTCACATATTTTTATATAATATATACAAACAAGTTCCATTATTTATTTACAAACAACATTCTAAAGCGTGTATTAAAGGGTCTGTATACATCCCTATTGCCAATTTTTGTTAAAATAAACATATATATATATTTTTCTTACAAATTTATCGAACTGAAATTTTTAGAACTTACTCCAAACAAAATTTTTTTTAACTGAATTACAATATATCTTAATCCAATATATAATTTTTTGAACTTTTAAACAACGTACTAGATCAGAAGTTTATTAAGATCATATTAATATTGGTAATGTTATTTGCATTTTTTTATAAAATGTTATTTACATGTTTTCAAAATGTTATTTACATTAAGTATAAATATAGAAAATGTTCATCACCTCCAACCACTCTTCAAAAATGAAAGTCTCCATACTAAGAACCGGAAGCTGTTGTGTAACCAAATAATTGGACTATCACTCAAACAGCACAGCCTCAAACACTACTATTCGCCAGCTAGAAATTGCACAAAGCCAGGCTCTGAAAAGACTCTGAAAAGGACGAATGACATCCTCATTGACTTCAAGATTAATCCGATCAAAAAATACATATAGGATAGAGCCCTGAAATTATTTACGAAAACTGACAAACTTACCAACACCGCGTTATCGATTTTCAGAATGGTTACAGGTTCCTCGGTTAGGTATGCAGATCTGAGGTCAATTATGGCTTAGTCCTGATGAAGCGTTATGAAGAAACCTCACAGTTAGTAGAGAGTAAAAGTGCTCCAATGCACTGATTCAATTAGCCTCAATATAATAATAATTAAATGTTATTTATTAAAATATTTATTTTGTTAATGCAACTTATTTTTCAAAACGTTGCTTAGATAGTCTTTTAGAATCTTCTGCTTTATATTTTTTGTTTGGTATTTTTATTTACGAACTCTAATCGCCTCTTTATAAATTTATATAAAATACAGAAAATATACGGAAGGCATATAATCTTATAAGAATCCATCAGAGTTTTCTAAATGAAGCTTGTATAAAAACATCTTAATTATTTTTCAAACCCTGAGGAAGTTTGGCAATAGTTGTTGACGTATATATTATATATGCAGCACTATATAATAACATAAATCGTATGAAATTGGACAGTGAATAAACTACTGTTAAGATAATATAGTTTATATTGTCTTTTACAGTTTCAAAGTTCGATGCTAACGAATTTTTGTTCTGGAAATAAATTTGATGTGCTTTTATTAAAGAATATTTATGTGTTGAACAATTAATTAAATTTTTAATTAATTAACTTATTAGTTTTTTATGAAAGAACTAACAAAAATGTTAGATTAATATACTTAACAGTATTATTAATTTTATATCTTAAACATATATTATGTTTCATTATAAACTAATGCTTTAAAATGTTCAAGTAGTTTGATATTCCCGTATTCTGAACATTTGGATAAAGTAGCTTGAACATTTGGATAAAATACTTAAAATGTTCAAAAAGGATAGAACTGTTCAAAGATGTTCTCAGATAGCTCACATGATCAATGTTTCATTTCTAAGAAACTCGCTGTGCGCAATTATTTGATTTTAAAATTAAAATACTTGAAAATTTGTTCAATCGAATAGTATTTGAAATTCTATTTCAATTATATTCTGTTTTTAAGTAATAACAGGGTCCACAATATAGTCAACATTTTAAAACACAACTAAAATTATGATCAATATTGAACTTCTGAGAGGATTTAGTCTAGATTTACTCTGAATCTGTCAGATTTTGTTTCCCAAACATACATTTTTAGAGTAATACGGCGTTTACATTGGCCGAAAATGGCTCATTTTGAATGAGCCATTTGAAAGTGTTTACATTCGTTCTATTTCATTTGTTCTCATTTCAACAGCTATTTTTCAACTTGCATGTTGATTTGATTTTTGGCCTGTGCCAAAAAAATGTTGCATGAAGGTTAAATATGCCTTCAAACCCTACATTAGAAACTTAAAACATATTTTTAACTTCGATTAATTACTTTTTGGGAAGTAAAAGTTCTAAAAAGCAGTGCATCGTTTTCAAGAAAATGCAACCACCAAACATTTGTTTACCTTTTTTTGTAAATATGTTAAAAACAGCTTTTTCAAACTGTCATTTTCATTTAGGGTATGTTCAATGGATTCCTTTGCATTTGGAACGTATGTGGAATGCATTCGAACGTCATTCATACAGAATGTGAGAAAATTGCTCATTTTGTGCTTGAAATTTTATATGCAAGAATGAACCATTCGATACTCATTTTCGATTTTTGACCAAAATGAGCCATTTTCGGCCAATGTAAACGCCGTATAATTTAACATTTTTTTAGTAGTGTTAGTAGACATTTAAATTTTTTATAAATGCATATGTGAAATCAAATCACACTTTATCTGTCAAATCATATGAAAACAGCTGTTAATTTCAGAGTAATCTTGCTCCTCTGGCACAATATCTGGAGTGTTATAAATTACTCTCGAGTGCATTAAAAGAACAACTCGATTAAAAAAATTTCCTAGATTTACCAATTGAAAACGTCATTAAATTTGGGCTTAACTAAGAACTAACAAAATAGTAATAACACTTTAAAATTGGGTATTGTGATTTAACTACCTGCATAACATGACTTAATGATCATAATCAGATATAGCTAATACTCATGGGACCATTCGCTATATGAATGTCTGCATAATAGAGTCATATTGTGTCAAAATGGTCGGTTTAAGTACAATAGCTTAAACGTACTGCAATTTTTGAAAAATTTGCTAAAATTATTAAAAAAAAATTGTTTTTATCCCTTTTGATAATATGTATTATTTATATTCAATAGTCTTCAATAGTCTTATTTAAGTTAATAACAAATTCTGTTTCATCGCAGTTTTAAGTAAATAGTGGCTGAAATGTTTGCTTTGTAATTAATTTGTGTAGCTTTTTGGAAATCTTCTTAACTACTAATTTATGCAATTCGAAAACCTGATGATAGATACATGAATATTGTATCTAAATTTCTCAATTTATGATAAACTGGTTCGAATTTGTTGTGCGTTCAAAAATTTATACATTAATAATGAAGTATTAATGGATTGTTAAGATTAATTTGTGCTGATATCGATTTCATGTGCCTGACAGCGAAAATACAACACAAATTCGATAAAACCTCAAAAAACAGAAAAAAAACAAACATTTTAAAATTGATAGATAAAATTTGTGTATTTATTATGCTTTATAAATGGAAATTAAAACATTTGTAATATGTATTTAACTAAATATTTGCATATAAATGTGAAATGACATGAGAAATAAATACCTTATAAATTTAAATATGAAACTCACATGAAAAGGAAATACCGTACGAGAAAAATCTGTTAAATATGCGATTTTAAAATTAATAGGTCTTCTTTCACATCGTAAAAGGGCGCAAAAATGTCAATAAAGAAAACAATGAAAGCGCATTTTATTAAAGTGACCCATAAACTGTACCGGATCATGACCAAAAGTGTCAGATTACAAAGTTGATTACAATCCTCAGCATAAAAAATTAATAATTTTTGCATATGCCAACACCACGCCACCACAGTCGAGAGTTCACCGAAAATCTTTACGCCATTATTTATTATAATTTTAACCACAAAAAAAATTGATGAAAATAAGACCAAGACAGTTTTTTTTTTTTTTGGTTAACAACAATAAAATGTAAATACTTTCTTTATAGGCTTGTGGTGCTTTTTATACGTATTCCCCTATATCGGTCCATAAAATGCATAACTGCAGTAAATGCGATAAATTTGCACCTTATCTGGGATTCATACATTTACGTATAGTATCGTATGCTATTAACATATACGTTGCTTTTTCACTTTTTAAAATTTCTTTCATATATAAATTAATATTTTTTCCTTTTTGTTGAAGTTTTTGTTAAATCCCATTTTATTCATACGCACATATTTCATTGCATCTGTAGCTGAAACTTTGAGGCGGAGGCTGTGGCTAAAGCTTAATGGCCTTCATCATTTTCCTGCTCTTCCTCAACGAACGACCACACGTTCGTTGTAACACTTCACACATTAATGAAGCCAGGCTTTCGTATTAAGAGTGAGTTTTTTTCATTTTCAGCATCGCCTGCTTCTGCCTCTTATCAATTTAGTGGCAGTGATGATGTGTGACAATTAATTTACCCAAAAACTTAACTTATTTGGGTTTAAAATTATTGTTAAGCCTGCAGTTGATATCTGGTGCAGATACTCTGCCTTCCCACATTGTAAATGGCATCATTTGTGCAAATGTTACTGTAATCCTTCCGACCACAATGTTGCATTAACTTTAAATGCTGTTGAATTCTCAAAAATATTTCTCGTGAAAACTAGGTTAATTCCTTGAATTACATTTTTATTACGATTAAGTGAGTAAAAGTAATTAAAAATTGTAATTGTAATATATATAAAATTTTATCCTCCTTTAAATGCATGTAAATTTAAAACTGGCATAATCCTTTTAAGTACAAAAACATTCTTACCAAAAAAAGATACATTATTTTTCAGTACCTGTTTGCTCTAATATTTAATGTAGAATTATAAAATAAATAAATAATGATTTAATTCACATAATTAAAAATAATTTTAATTTAATTAAATTTAAATACTGAGATCAACTGGGTGGTCATAAAATAATATTTATAATCAAAAAAGATATGGTAAATTTAACATTAATAGATACGAGGTATGCTCAAAAAATAATATAATAAAATAACATTTATAATCAAATAATAAATTGTAAATTTAATATTAATAGATACGTGGTATATTCAAAAGTAGAGAAAAGTATTTTTCTGAACTCCTCCTTTTAAGAAGTCCGTCTTTGATATTAAGTACTTACAGCAATGCAGTTTCCAAATTGAGATACATTAATATGTTAGAGCAACTTTTTATATATGATTATATATACCACTGATAGTTCCTATTCAAGAAACACGGTTGGAACCGCCTTTTTAAACATAGTCTCGGACTCCGTTTGTGACATCGTCATTGACTTGACTGTTGTTGAAAAACGTTTTCTTTGGAGTTGTTCTTCTAAATTTGTGAAGCAAATAAAAGAGTATCGCTAATTCATGCGGTATCGACTTTTATTTATACAAACTAAAAGCGCTCTCAATCGGAC